TCGGATAAATCTTGTTGTTTTCCTGGCCGATAAGTGATAATGAACTTGAATCTTGACAAAGACATACTCCAACGAGCTTGACGACGATTCAACACGCGTGCTGACATGAAATACTCGAGGTTCTTGTGATCTGTATACACAGTGACTGGACTAGAAGCGCCTTCTAGATAATGACGCCATTCTTGAAAGGAATCCACGATCGCAAGAAGTTCTTTATCGTGGATCTCATAATTGATCTCGGCTGCTGAGAATTTTCTTGAATGAAAAGCTATCGGATGAAGTTTGTCATCTGTTCCCATTTGTGATAAAACTGCACCCAAGGCAAAATCCGATGCGTCTGTTTCCATAAAAAATGCCTTGGAAAAGTCAACACGATATAAGACTGGTGCAGAGACAAACGATGTCTTCAAGGCTTCAAATGCTGCTTCCGCTTCTTGATTCCATTGGAATTTATCTTTACTAGTCAAGCGTGTAAGTGGAGCTGCAACTCGTGAGAAGTCTTTGATGAAGATCCGATAGTAATTGGCAAATCCCAAGAAACATTGGACATCTCTCACAGTCTTTGGAATCTTCCAATCCATGATTGTTTGGACATTCTTAGAATCCATCATAAGACCATCATTTGAAATGATGTATCCTAAAAAGTCAACTTGAGTAGTGTGAAATACACACTTTTCCATCTTGGCGTACAATCCTGCATCTCTGAGTTTTTGTAATACTTGACGAACATGTATTTCATGTTCTTCAACATTCTTAGAATAAATCAGGATATCGTCTAGGTAGCAGACGACAAAATTATCTAAGAATTCACGAAATACATCATTCATGAGATGTTGAAAAGTAGCTGGTGCATTCGTGAGTCCAAAAGGCATGACATTATATTCAAAATGCCCGTACTTGGTTCGAAACGCAGTCTTCCATTCATCTCCTTCTTTGATCCGTACTAGATTATATGCTCCTCTTAGATCTATTTTTGTATAGATCTTAGCTTGATTTAACTGGTCAAGGAGTCCTGATATCAAAGGTAATGGATACCTGTTCTTGATTGTGATCTTGTTGAGTCCTCGATAGTCAACACACATTCGTAAAGATCCATCTTTTTTCTTTACGAATAAAATTGGAGCTCCTGCTGGAGATTTTGAATGGCGTATGAAATTCTTCGCTAAATTCTCGTCAATATATGTCTTGAGTTCAGCCAACTCATGTTGCGATAAACTGTAAATTGGTCCAAATGGTGGCTGAGTTCCTTCCTTGAGATCGATTGAACAATCGTATGGGCGATGCTCAGGAAGAATATCTGCATTCTTTTTCTCAAAAACGTCTTGATAATCCTGATATTGACTTGGAATGCCACTTGAAGTCTTTACGCTTTCAGAAATAGGTGCAGCATAAATAGCAAAAGTTGATCCTTCTTTTGCTGCGTGTATAAATGCTTTTGCACCTATAGGTGTGAGTTTTACTATACTAGACTCATGGTTTTTTACTTGGTTAATAGAATTGTTACTAATGCTCTGAGGAAAATCAAGTTTACGAGAAATCCAATCTATTCGAGGATTATACTTTTCTAACCATGATAAGCCTAAAATTACTGGATTAGAGGGAGATCTAATTATATTAAAAATTACGCAACTACTATGACCATTTATTACTACATCTACAGGAAGTGTTTCGTGAGTTACATCTCCAGAAGACAACGGACGACCATCTATGACTTCTACGTGTACAGGTTTAGTTTTTTGTATTAATGATATTCTATGACATCTAGCAAATTCTTCATCTAAAAAACAAGATGAGGCTCCTGAATCTACCAAGGCAGAGGCTTTGTAATTATTAGGTCCTAAACGCACATCTATTATAAAACAAGGAGATGGTTTTGAGGAGAGGATAGGACCTTTATTAGAAGTTGTACAAGATTCCAGCCGCACGGTCCCTATTGTAGCTGGACGTACTCGTTTTCCGACATACTGTCTTCTTTGACAGCCGTACTCCTCATTTTGTAGTTACGTCGCTTCTTTGGACAATGTTGAGCAGTGTGCTTAGGTTCTCCACAATATAAGCACAATCCTTCTTGTCGACGACGAGACTTTTCTTGCTCAGTAAGAGGTTTGAAACGTATCGCATCAATTTGCATATCCTCTACTTCCGAAGGTATGTGTTGAGGAGACGTCGGTGTTGCCATTGAATTGTAGTAACGTTGAGGCCCACTTGTGCGACTCTCGGATCGAAATTCAAAAAGTCGATTGTCGCACTTCACAGCAAAGTCAATTGCTTGACTCAATGTTTGAGGATCAGGTAAATTAAGCATCAATTTCTTTACCTCATATTGTAATCCGTAGAGAAATTGACTCACAAGTGCGGCATCATCCCACTTGATATCAGTTGCAAGTTGTCAAAATTGCGAAGCATATAATGTTACTGATCGATTGCCTTGTCGCAAAATACGGATCTTGTTGGTTGCAACACGAATTGCATCATGTTCTCCAAACATGGATCGAAACTCCGCCAAAAAAGCCTCCAGATTATCCAATATTGGATCTCGTCGTTCAAGAAAAGATGAAAATCATGACAATGCTGAACCTGAAAGAAGTGTACCAATGAATCTTACTTGTGACCCTGGAGTTGGATAGCTCTGGGGTTGAAGTTCAATCACTAGTTGGACCTGATTGATGAATCCTCGAAACTTGGATCTGGTACCATCAAACTTCTCGGGCAAGGCAACTCTCGGTTCTCTAACACTCGAAGGGTGTTCCATTCTGGGAGAAGGGACATGGTTTGGTGCGGATGCTGAAGCAGCCCCAATCATCTCTATATCTTCACTTCCTACCATTCTTGTTGCTCCTTGTGGTGGTAAATTGAGTTGATGCATCGCAAGCATTAACTCCCTCAATTGTTCTTGCATCTGTGCCATTGCACTCTTCATTTCAACAAGCTCTGCCATAGTAGCACTTAGAAAAGAGAAGATGTCTAACAACGCTCAAAACAAATAGAAGAGAGGAATTGATAACAAAGAAAATACTAAGAACAATATCAGTTTAAAAGAGGGTAATCCGCAACTTCTAATGCGCTTATGTCTTATCAAGAAAAAGGGGTAATCCACTCTTAATCAAGAAAAGACAAAGCTCTGATATTATAAGTGTACTCTTGTCAATCTGTCAAGGACAAGAACTCGATGAAAGCTATAGAGTAAGTGAGACTTTTCTCAAAAAGAAATAGGACAAAATAGAAATATGTATATTAAGAAAGAAACTGGAATGGCTATTGCCAAAATACAAGAAAACTAGAGACCCTTGAAACTAGACTAGAAGCAAGAAAGGAGTTGACAAGAGTGAAGAGGGCTTCACTCTTGCCTCTATATATACTATCTAACTAGAAGCCACATGGCGATGTTCTATAAGACCTCCAATATATGTTGACTTTCTAGGCCACATGCCTTTGCTTGCAAGGCAAGTTTTCTATGGATGGACCACGTAGTTAGCTTGTTCTTTAAGCTTCCAACATGTGTGGCACATGGCTAACTTGTTGACCAAGTTTCTAGCCTAAAAGTCAACTATAGACTCCTATAAAGTCAAAGTAGCGTCTATGGAGCTTCTAAGAAGCTTCTCTAGAAGATATTACATAATTAACCTACTTTTACATACTTTTATCTATTCATATAGGTAATTATATGTATGTCCGTGACAATTTGATTAAGATTAGATTAGGATTAGGATTTGGTTAGAATTTAAGGTTCTATTAGATTTTTGTTAGAGTTTGATTAAGTTTTTTTTAATATTCTTTTATATTTCTTTAGGATTTCCTTATGTTTCTTTTATAACTTCAATAAAATTTAATTGACCTTGCTTAATATTTGATTATAATTGTTAATATTTAATTATAAATTCTCTATAATTCTATTGGATTGTTAATACCTTTTGTTGTAATTTTCTTTTACCTTCCACAACCAGGTGCTCGGTGCATTCTCAAGCAAGACTTTACATAATACGACATATTTGGTGAACCCGATGTGAAAAACTTGAGGTGGGAGGTATTTGGAGTTTCTTTGATCTATTTGAGTTATGGAGAAGGAAGGAAAGAGAATGGAAGGAGGAGCTTTTGGTGGTGCTTCAAGTAGAGTTGGAAGTGGAGCTTCAATTGAAAGACAAGGTATGTATTTTGATCTCAACTTTGTAAGCATGTTTGAGGCATTGGCCTTACTCATGCAACAACAACAGATTAAAGATCGCAAAGAGGGCATGGCAGACAAAGCATTACAAGCTATTGTAGACAAGATTGATTAATTTGAAGACAAGGATATTTCAAAATATTTAAGGTGTTACATAAAGGAAATGGAATTGAAGGGTATTTCAAAGAAGGAGATGGTTCAGCTATTTGAATTGGCTATTGCACCAAAAATAAGAAATCATGTGAAGTCCATTATAGGACATTTTAGAGGTTCATGGAAAAAATTATTTCAAGCATTAAAGGATGAGTATTTTTTAGAAGATAGTGACTGAGTTACAAAGAAGTCATTTTTTGAATGGATTGAAAGGCCTAAGAAGGATCTACTAGTAATGAAGTTACTAAAGGAGTTTGAAAAGAAATATTCTTGTTTATCAAAGAAGGAGAGGTAATTATTAGATCTAAGTAAAGTGGAGCTTTTTCTTCAAGCAGCTAATGGAGAGTTGTAAGAGAAGTTGGAAATTTTGCTGAAGGATAAAGAAGTTGAAGGATTGACAATAAATTGGGAGATAGTAGAAGAGGCAATTGGGGTGCTTGCAAAAATAGAAAGGAGAAAAGATAGGATGGAAATTCAAAGACCATTGCAAGCATCTAAAGGAAAAATACCTACTATCTATCATACATCTATGATTCAACCTTCAATGGCTACATCAAAGAGAGAAGAAATGGGCATTGAAGAAATTATATGAGGGATGAGAGATTTACAAATAAAATTTATAAAACTTGAAGAGATGGATCAATCATCAAGAATATCAACAAGATAAATTTAAGACCAACTCATGAACTTCACCCTAAAAAAAAAAACTTAAAATAAATACACAAAAAAGAAGTTCTGCATGAATATGAGCTTGTGGATTGTTCTACTAAAGTGCTATTTCAACACCCATTTCTCTTCCAGAATCTCTCCATTAAATTCTACCTCTAGTTCAATCTCAGATATACACCAAGTCACTCTCAGATTCAATCTTAGTAAACCAGTCAGATGTCACTTCCACCACAGACCACGTTGTGGCATTGTATCCCCTCTTCGTGAGTAATGTCTCACATTATGATCTGCTAATGAGAGATTCTACAAAATTCATATGCAAAATTCACATTCTCAAAAACCACAGCCAGCATTTCATTCACTTCTGTTTGTTGTTTTCTCACCTTCGCACTTTGATTCACACACATTGTGCTACAATTTATACATCACTATGTGTGGGTTCTGTTATCCCGTTCATGATCTTACAGCAAATTATAAACTACATAGTTGGAAATATTAACGCTCATTGTTTTTGTTGTTACGTTCATGATTCAAGTAACGAAAAGCTCACACATATTGTGCATTAATTGTTTCCGTATACTTGGTGTGCATGGACAGTTACAACTGCAGTGGGTGGTGCAGTCCGGAACAATGAAATTGTCAGAACTTGATGCGTTTAGTCTGTTCGATGCAAAATTCTGAACACTGCGATGATCAGATCAATTAAGTGACCTTCAATAGTGTTCTCTAAAACTCTCTCTACACTGTCACATCCGGCACTTTCAAGCTCTACTGCAATTTTTTGTGACCAAGAGACCAGATCGTAGACCGCATAAAGAGAGCCAAGGCGGTGCGTGATGTGCACTATCACCATGGATCGCAATCACTGCACAGAAAAGTTGTAGCTCGCAGTTGCAGAAGTTGGAATATCAAAGACGTTGCCCTAAGGGTCGAGGTCAGAACGACCCCTGTGTCCGTATAAAACAGCAACAATGTCATTCTGATTTCATTCGAAATGAGGAAGAGGACGATGACGTACCGAATAGCGGCGTGAAATGAGTTACCAACTTCGAGAAACGGACGTTGCACAGAAATGCTTACAAACATGATTGAATGTCATTTTCTATCTTGGAAGGAGGAATGGTGGGAGCGTAGCGTTGAAACACATTACCGCTCTTGTCGACGAGGAATTTGGTGAAATTCCACTTGATGCTGTCGCCCAACACGCCGCATCCCTTCTGCGATTTCAGGTACTTGAACAGCGGTAACTCCTGAGGACCATTCACATGGACCTTGTCAAAGACGGGGAACTCAGCCTGAAATTTCGTAGTAACAAATTCCTTGATCTGTTCGTTGTCCCCTTGCTCCAACCGTCCGAATTGGTTGCAAGGAAATGCCAGAATCTCCAAACCTTTTTCTCTGTACTTGGTGTGGAGTTCTGTGAGCTCTGTGTAGTGTTGGGTCGTCAACCCGCACAGGGACGCGACATTGACAATGAGCAGAACCTTCCCCTTGTACACGCTCAACTGAAAGTCTTCGCCGCTCAAGTCCTTCACAACGAAGTCGTATATGGGAGGCTCGAGCGGTGCCTTAGCCTTGCCTTCAGCAATTACTTCACCTTCGTCCGTCATGGCTTGACGGGTATTGAGCATCCAGACGGCACTCACAAGCGTGAGATAGAGCAAACACTCTCCCCAACAACGTTTCAAGAACAGGCAGAATCACAATCGCGATAACAGACACAATCGTGCCCTAGTAATTTTTTAACGAACTTCAGCCAGTCTCTTCTTGGCTTTTGCCTTCATCTCAATATGCAACGTCATAAGTAAGGATTCTTTCGGTTCCGTAGTTTTCATTGGAGAACTCAAATCGTGAAGTTAAAACGTAGAGATGCGAAGGAACGAGTATCGAGTACCGCTGGTTTATAAGTCTGTCTTAGATGACGATTAGAGTTCGTCGATGTTCAGTTGTGGCGAGTTGAACGCGCAGAGGTTTTAGACGTCGTCTACACTGACCACAATCCGCGTTATGCCTCAGGATGGAATGCTGCTCTTTGCCCGCTGCTCTGTAATGCTAATAAGTTGTGACAAGGCGGCACGATACGATTCTCCATCTATCAATCACAAGGCAAAATGACTGACTCGGAACATGTGCTGAGGAAAGGTTGGCACGGTGAAGACACCGTTGAGAAGTGCACTGCTCCGAAATCTCTCTTGAATGAGGAGCACTCTATTCAAGTTGAGTGGTTGCATTACTAATCATACCACCCACTTACAAAGTACTGTGCTAATCCTGAGTGAAATGGATTGCAATTGAATCATTTGTCTAAGTCTAGCATACTATATCCTATGATTCTGCTGCACTAAAATGATCAGTGCTCTGCCCACTTCTCAGCGGCGATTCGTCGATTGTGAAGTAATTTGTTTTCTGCGGCTGAAACTGAACATGTCTTATTCCAGCTGGCATGCTACTCTTGCTAAATTCTGGGATAATGAAACAACTGATACAATTTAGGATTACAAGGTGCCCACAGGCATGCGCAATCAAGGTCGTTTGGTTTGCGATTTCTTTTTCCATGAAGAAATTGAAACTAACTTGGAGGGATGCAATCCAGCTTCGACGTCGACTAAGTTGCATTTGCCCTCGGGGAAATACTGTTGATGGTCCATTGCGTCAAGGAGTCCAGTGCATATCGCAAAGTTTGCCGATTGCAGCTTGATGATAGCACAATGCTGAGTCTCGAAGCTATGTCAGATAATTTAGTGACATTATAAATTCAACCTCCACCAATGAAATATTGCTTTGTGTGAAGAGCCATGGCAGAGAGTCGGTTGATGCAACCCCAGCACCAATGATGAACGTGCAATGCGCTGATCATCAGATGTGCAAAATGGCGTTGCGGTCCGGACGTGGGCCATGATGGCTCTGCTCCATCTCATAGCTGTCTGCCGAGCGAGCGTGTCTGCTGACATCGAATTTCTCGCCGTCGCCCCACAGCGCGTAGGCTTCCTCGCCGTGCTCGGCATCGTCGCCGACTAGCAAGTGCTCCTCCGACATACGTAGGGGCATGAGCATTCCGACGGCAAAAATGATCAAAGTGGTCACCACAATATTCCAGCCAATGATGAAGAGCGCTCCCACAATCTGCTTCAGCACTTGCACTCCGCCGTTCCCGCCGTAGAAGAGCCCATTGGAGTTCGTCACGGGCAAATTCATGTACGTGCAAAGCTCCGGCTCCGCGAACAGCCCCACACAAAGGCCACCCAAGCATCCTGCTACGGCGTGCGTGTGGAACACACCTAGCGTGTCGTCCACGTTCTGCAGCAGCGACCAGCGCTTGTGCAGCCACATCATGGTCCACCACGGAATACTTCCGGCCAGGACTCCCATAATCAGAGCAGCCCACCCTGGCACAAAGCCTGCAACATTCAACAACATTCGACTGTGCTTAATGCATACAGCAGTAGTCGATCTTACAGACTATCTTTGAATTTCGGCAAAACCAAGTCAATGCTTCGAGAGGCTTGAATTTCTCACCAGCGGCAGGTGTTATTGTCACAAGCCCTGTCATCATGCCCTGCACTGCTCCGATGACCGATGGCTTCCCAAAGATGATAACATCTAAGGTTGTCCAAGTCAAGAGGCTGGTTGCAGCGCAGACATGGGTGTTGAGCACGGCCAGCCCGGATACTATATTGGCGCTGAAAGGCGCGCCACCATTGAAGCCTGACCATCCCATCCAGAGTAGCCCCGCTCCCGTGAGCATGAGCAGCATGTTGTTCGGTGGGAACCTTTCTCGATCTTTAGGCAGCCGCGGTCCTACCTGCATTGCACCGCAACAAATCAGACATCGCCATCTCCATTCATCTTTGCCACACTGGAATGCCGGAAGTGCCCAACTCGAGAATTCCAACAAGACAAAGGGGTCGGGTCTGTGAAGAGACGAGTTCATACCCAGTACGCTGCGACGAAGCCAGCGACACCCGAGGAAACATGGATAACATACCCCCCGGCGTAGTCAATCACTCCCCATTGCCACAAGAAACCCCCACCCCACACGCTGAATGCACCCACAGTGTAGGAGAATGTGAGCCACAAAGGCACAAACAGCATCCACGCGCGGAAGCTCATCCTCCCAAGCACTGACCCTGCAAGCAAGATGATCGTGATAGCGGCGAAGAAGAATTGGAACAGAACCATGTTCGCCATGCCATAATTTAATGTCAGAGCCGATGCCTCCTGTGTCCCGTTTTTAAACAAATGTATTGTGGACGGCATCCCAGCCTGCGACAGCAAGTATGTGTAACGGAGAGTGGTGCCAGCTTTTCCCCACAGAGGCAGCAGCTGGTCTCCGAAGGACATCTTGTACGCCCATCCCACCCAGCACAGCAACGTCGCGGCGAACGCGTAGAGAGCCATGAACGCAGAGTTCACCGCCCATTTCTTCTTCACAATGCTGCCGTAGAGGATGACCAAGCCGGGCATGGATTGTAGCCCGACGAGTGTAGACGCTGTCAATAGCCATGCGTTGTCGCCCTTGTTGAGCCAGTCAGGCAATACGCCTCCTGTGTTCTGGTACGCGGAGGGGACGTAAGACGTAGATTCAGCAATCATACGATGCGGCATCGCCATGACGACGAGTGGTTCAGCTGATCAGGGTTGGTAGGATTCGAAGCTTACGAGTTGCCACTTTCAATCCGGAAATCCAACCTTGGGTTCTATTTAGAATCGCTCATGTGAACATCACCTTCGTAGCCATCATTTTGAAGCAACAAGAGCATTCAACTCGCAGTGTTACAAACGATTCCAGAACTAAATGCGGAGTTTCTTCAGCTACATTCATTAATGACATGCAGAACTATGCCAATGATCGCAAAACTGGAATGCACACAAGAATTCTTCAGAGATACAACTGACGATTTAGCTACACTGCCTCCTACAATGATTCCACTCCCTAGGCAAAGTTGACGCGGATTCTAGTGTAGTCGTGAGACGGGTATCTACAAACTCTGGTCTAACCACCGGCAGACCAATGTGACTTCCTCTGCACAGTGTTTTGGCTTACACACCACACTATGTTGGCTAAGAACTTGTATCGCAATTCGAAGGCTGGTTCCGGAAGACGATTTGAACCTCTACCAAGTTGCGAGGATTCATAAGGTTGCTGCTGACACAAAAGAGATTGTGGTGGCGTGAGTTGCATCTCGATTAGCCCATACCAGATCTGTCATTTTGCCATCAATACCCACAGGTATCTAAATCAGGCTAGAAGAGACCTCGCCCTGGCCTACAATGTGTGCCCACTTACTCTGAGGAACCATCCCAATTGCCTTCTGAAACACTACTACAAAGAAAACGAGGCCAAAGCAATTAGCAGCAGAGATTGGCGTCGTAACAATGTACCACGTCGGCGTGGGAAGTTCTTATACCAAAGAGGCCCACACGTGAAGCCCTCATCTGCGGGAGACCACAAGCTTGTTTCAGAAATACACCTGCGCTGGGTAACTCTGTGCACATACTTGCACAGTATTTACCAGAAAGCAGAATTCGACGTGACAACGTAAATCCTGCCGATTTATCAGTCCTCACCACTGTAGGCAGACATCCAACTTTCTGAGAGGATTTGTAGCTTTCTCAGGAAAGTTTTGTGCATCTCTTGGAAAAATGCGGACCAAAGGCTTAGCCGTATCCTATTCATACTTTCGATCGTTTGAATTCCAAACTGTAGCTGCTGATACTGGAATATCTAGATTTCGGAACAAAACTGCGGAAAACTTTTGTATGATACAGTCTGGTCGGGGTGAAGGGAGCCTTAAGTTTAATTTCGAGGGTTTCCTCAAAAATAGTAGTCAATTCAGTCTCGGAGCTTGGAATATCTTCAATACCCATGCTCACGACGCGTAACAACATGCAATTACTTAGATAGGGAGGGAAAGATACGCCCTCCCATTATTGCAGTTGTGCAAATTGTCAGAATAATTTGTAGTAAACCCAAATCGGATCACATCACTCAGCCTGGAGCTCCACATTGGCATCACTAACCACCCAAGTCACAGGAATGCACAGTTCATTTCTCCGTCCCAAAATCCTCCGAACGTCTCTTGAATTCAGTGCATCGTCTCGCACCCGGAATCTCGTCTCTTCGAAACACTTCGATAGAAACTATACATTCACTGCCTATCTGGCCACTGTCTAAAAACTCATTTTCGAGTTTTCCATTGCTGAAAAATTGTGCCATAACAATAACTGCTATAATTGTTTTCAACTTGGACCCTGAAAATTGTCTATCGAATTACCGACCACATACCACGAGCTGCTCAAGGCTCCAAGTTGCTGAAAGAAAAAATATTTATCCCCGTGAGCTTGTAAATAAGGAAATCCAGCGATGATGAGGAAAACGGCACCCAGCATCGAAGGCACCTCAAATCCCTCCACAGATTAAATTCTGCGCAGTCATGTTCGCCGCATACACTTCCGTCCACTATTCGCTGTGCTGGACTGACAGCAGGCGATGGATACCAGCCGTCCATCTTGCACAAAAACTGTAGAGGGCGACCTCCAGTCTCAGCCTGTAATCCCAACTACGGTTGCGATCGTAACATCTGCGTTCATTGAGGGCGAGAGATGGTGAGATTCCAGCCGCCGCGTATCCGAATTTAGTGCGGATTGTTGTTTCCTTGGGATCTGTAAGGGTCGTACTGCGTGGATATATGGCTGTCAACTAAACTTGCAAATCTATCTAAGTAGAAGTGGAATCACGAAGGCGGGATTAGCTGACTGCCGATAGGGCGGCAGTTAATACTGTATGTCTGCCCAAGCTTTTTGCCGCCTCATTGTAGTGCAGCATTCCTATTTTAAGATTGCTGAACGATTTCAATTACTCATTGTCCACTGGACTGTGGTCAGTGCAGCTGAAACACACGGGAATGATTCTTGCCGATGGGTAAAGATAGCGAAGGTGACCAGTGAAGCTTTGCTGTTGAACAGGATAACTAGAACGATTTCTGGGAAAACAAATCTTCTAAGCAGTTGGCACTGTAACTTAGCGGCTACTCTTCACCTGCGATCTTCTGCAATCCAACTAGTTTCACAGTTTCTGCATAGATAATAATTGGCACGATGATCCAGTGTAATATTCTCCCCGAGTTGTATACAGTACACCTGTGTGATCATGACGAGACGAGATCCACAAATTTCCAGGTGTGTGTGTGATCCACACGATCATTACTTGGGATAAAATATTAATTATTTTTCAAAATCTCTAGGCGACAAAAAATCTTAGCTAAGATGAACTGGTTCCAACCATCATGTAATGAACGTTGCATTTATTATTACATCGAATTTGCGCCAACTCCTGCTCTGTAACAACGTTTCGTAAAGACCCATCACACGGAGCTCCAATGCTCCTGGAAGAGGTCCAATGCTCTTGGAAGAGGTCCCATCATTGAAATTCATCATAAAAGTATGGTGATATCTATTTAACAATTAAAAGTTGTTCTTCTTTAAAACAAATTAGTATTCACTCCACCTCCAAACCATGTTGTTTTGCTTCTTTAAGGTCACTTTTTCATAGAAGTATAAGAGTAGAATTATGCATTAGATATAATATAATAACAAATAAACAAAAACAATAGACTACATCTTAACACCTTTTATTCAAGAAGATTTTCAACAATTAAGATTATATATGAAAAAGAATTAAACTAAATCATATATATACAGTGACAAACAAAACCGAGTACAAAATCTGAACACTCATAGTTCATTGATCCTTCCAACTGACACATAAGTCAATTGATAGAATTACTTTTTTATTGTGTGTATTCATCCAGTCCTCTACATGGATGAAAAATCTCATTATCATTTGAAGTAGGGTTTATGAGAAAAGTGTTGTAGAAGCACACAGACGTGCGTACTCAGTTTTGGTTGCTTCTTCTTGTTGAATTTCGAAATTTCAATGTACACTCCTTGTTGCAAGATTTGAGGGCATTTTTTGTTTGTTGTGTTGCTCTTGTTGTGTACTATCTATAGTAAAAGTTGATTTGTCAATTGTATCTCTATGCCTCGGTTGTGTGAATCATTGAAGCACCAAGCATTGGTGCACCTTAGGAGTGGTGTTTCTATAAGAAAAGTTGCAAACACACTTGGAATGAGTCAGTCTTCAGTAGCTCATCTGAGGAGGGAGATTAGTGGTGAAATAGAAAAGCAAAGAGGAGGACGTCCAAAGGTTTTAGGAGAGCAAGAGAAGCGACTTGGTGTGCACCTTGTCACTGTTGGTTGTCTCAAAATGGCAAGTGCAGCTGCAAAACAACTTCGAGAAAAAATAGGTAAACACTTCTCAGACATCACCTTGAGGTGTGGTTTGAGAGAAGCTGGTTTGGGTGCTTGTGTGTAACAAAAGAAGCCTCTACTTGCCAAAAGACATATTCTTGCAAGGTTGAGTTTTGCTCATAAATACAAAAATTGGACCGTTGATGATTGGAGACGGATTATTTTCAGTGATGAGACAAAGATTAACCTAATCAACTCAGATGGTAGGTCTTGGTATTGGTTGAGAGAAGGAGAACGACCTGGACCTAAACATGTTAGTCAAATTGTCAAACATGGTGGTGGTTCAATTATGATTTGGGGTTGTATGACTGCTTTTGGGCCGGGTGCTTGGTATCAAATTGAAGGTAGAATGGAGCAACACTTGTACAAAAAAATTTTAGAAACCTACTTGCAAAGTACCACACAGAATTACAACTTAGATCCTACTAAGGTGGTTTTTCAACATAATAATGATCCCAAACATATGGCAAAAAGTGTTCAGTTTTGGCTCTCTTCACAGCCATTTCAGCTCCTTCAATGGCTAGCTCAATCTCCAGATTTGAATCCAATGGAACATTTTTGGGCCCTTCTCAAACAGCGTTTAAGCCAAGTCACGCCAAGGCCAAGAGGTGTTCAAGAATTGTGGGAGAATGTTTGTAGTATTTACGCTAGTTTTGATGCAAAAGATTGTGAGAAACTATACAAAAGTATGCCAAGAAGGATTTCAGCTATTTTGCAAGCAAAAGGTTATTGGACTAAATATTGAAGTTTGAAGATTTTCTTTGAATAATACTGAGTACAAGACATAGTTGTTGATTTGACTTTGTAGAAGGATGTTTAGTTATCAATTTGATGTGCAACTTTGTACATGTGTACAAGACTGTGTATATTATTCCATGTAACTTTCAGATTTATAAAGCAATCATTGAAATTTCTATAATTGCTCTTGAAAGTTGGCACTTCAGATTTTGTACTCGGTTTTGTTTGTCACTGTATATATATATATATATATATGTTATTATTGATATTTAATTATTTTAAAATAATATAATTTTTAGAAATAATTTGAATCTAATTTTAATTTATTTTGATTACAAGAAATTTGAATATTTTATGTCAATATAGATATTAAATTATTGCAAAGCCTATCAAAGAATGTCTTTGTTACAAATTTTATTAAAATCAAAGAATTTACATTTTTGAGCTATAAAATTGACAAATTTTTTGATTCTATCTTTATTGATGAATTTTTTTATAAATATATATAATTTTTCTAAAAAAAATTATAAAAAATTAAAAATTAAAATATAAAAATATTTTGAGATCTTTTTATTTTTAAAGTTTTATTTTTAAAAAGATATATACATATATATCACAAAGGTAAAATATAATATGATTTTATAGCAAAAATATTTTTTTAGATACAATAAAAATCTAAATTTTATTTTAAGATAATTTTGGTTGCTTTAAATATAAAAAATTCTTAAAGAATTTTTACTATCTTATGGTATTTTTTGTTAAAAAAATATTGTAAATTATTCCAATTGATATTGTAAATTAAATGGGCTTCTTTAACTATTGACTACTCCTAAAAAAAACCATGGTTATTTGTTCCAATAAAATTTAGTAAGTATCTACTAAGATTTTATTAGTAGTAATAATAGAATATGTAATAAAAATAATATATTTTATATTATCCATAAAAGATATTTCAAGTAAAATATTTTATTTTATTTTATTTTATTTTATTTTTAACAATCTTAATGATATCATCGACCTCCAATTGATATTATTTTTTATAAAATATTTCATTTTATATTGATTTTTTTTAAAAAACCTTTGCCATAAAAAATGATGGTGTTATATGTGGAAATCAAGAGAGCGTTTGCCGCAATTAAGTCCATAAGAGAACAGAGGAGGCTTATAGGACTTTCTTCGATAAGGGACAGATTGATCTAGTTTAAGCAGACTCTATTCTACATTCCAAAGAGAAAGTGGAGAAGAAAAGTGATGTATGAGATTCACGACGCCCCATATTTAAGACATAGAGGTGTGAAGACTACAACAAAGGACGTGGCGCAATCATATTACTAGCCTTTGAAAGAAGATGTAGAATAGTATGTGAAAAGTTGTTTAGTGTGTCAAAGAAACAAGCACTCTACAGAAGCAAAGATAGGTTTATTGAAGCCTTTATCTATTTCATTCCTACTTTATAGGGATATTTCATTGGACTTCATAACTAGTCTACCAAAATATAGTGAAGCTAATTCAATCTTGGTCATAGTTGATTGGTTCAGTAAAATGACAAGATTTACGACAATGGAGATGTTTGTAAAAGACTCCAAGGAGGAATCAAAGATAGCACCACAATTAATAGTGAATCTCTTCTTTGACACTTGAATCACATTGTATGGGGTACCAATATCAATCGTAAGCAACAGAGATATATGCTTCACAACTTAGTTTTGGCAGTATGTTATGCAAAAACTGGGATCCAAGATCATTCACAGAATCGCTTGGCATTGATAAGGGGACGGCCAAATAGAGAGAATCAATGGAATTCTCTTGATGTACCTAAGACACTATGTGGCAAGTAACCACAAAGATTGGGTCAATAGTTGCTCGTAGCTAAGTTCATTATAATACAATTCGAAATGAGTCTTTGGGTAATACACTGTTTTAAGTAGCTCAAGGATTTAACACACTCAAGCCGATTAATCTGATTGGTATCAAACAAAACGACGAGCTAGCTTTGGAATTCTACTAAATAGAAGAGGCTAAGTGGATGGCACGAAGAGAGGCCATCATGAGTACATCCAGAGTGAGACTGGAAGCAACCTAGAATAGATACAAGAAATAAGTCGACAAGCATAGAAAGGATGTATAATTCAAGAAGAGAGACCAAATGTGATTGAATACAAATAACCTCACTTGTACCGTACATCTCACTCCAAAGTGGACTCAAAAATGGGTGGGATCCTATGTGATTGAGTACACAT